CGACTTGGGTAACCCGTGACACCCATGCCATGCCCATGCCATTTAATGAGGACTTCAGGGAGGCATCAGCCGGTGGCTGTTCAGCTGGAGTGCCTGGGTGTGGCTTCAGCATAGCTGGTGGTGTGCGGAATGGTTTCCAGTTCAGATACCCTATAGTACTTATTGGCTGATCGTCCTCCTTCAGTCAGTTCATTTGTTCATGTGACACACTCATCAGGCTTTTGCTGTATGGCTGGAAACAGTGCATGTGGAAGGGAGGGCCCAGGTTAGGGAAACACGGACATCACCCACTGGGGACCGATGCCGGGAGATCTGGGGACAGATGAAAGTGTGGGACGGGGTCTCTTGAGGGGGCTTCTCTCATGCCACCCACCAGCAGCTGTCATCCTTTGTACAAGGTGGGGATCACCCATTCTAAAGGGGTCCAGTTAGCCCTGAAAAGAGTCTCCAAAAACAGGGTGGTTGAACTGAAGGTGAGAGAGACAGAAGGGTGCAGGCCGGCAGGGAGACAGCCTGCTCCGAAGGGTAATCCCTCGACCGACGGCAGCACTGCCCAGGCAGGGTTCTGGAGCCAGGGGCCCTGACGGGGGGCCTGTGTCCACGGCTGAACGTGCAGCACCATCACTGCGGGCTGGGTCAACAGTGTCCCGAGGCGTGAAGCTGTCTTGCTGGCCCCTCAGCCTGCTGAGCAGCGGTGTCTGGTGGCTCGCCCTGACCGTGGCCATGTGGACGCTGGGGGCGTGGGCTGGATGACTTTCCCATAGCTGCTCGTCTCCCTCCTTTTCATCTTCTCTTTGGAAGGTCAGTTTTACACTAGTTCTTAGAAGGCTGGTAGGGAAGCCCCAGCATTTCAGAGGAACTCCAGTGGGATAGCTGACCTTCCATTTCGAGGGAGCCTTCCCGTACCACTCCGCCTTTCTGTGGACTTGTGACTCTGTTACGGAGGACACAGGTTCTTTGCTCCCTGAGGGTTTAGTTTTGTGAAATCCTCAGCTGTTCCCAGGTAAAAAGACATCTTGTTTTAGAATCTGTTAAAAAAAAAAAAAAAAAAAGAGAGAGAGCCAAGGTCTCACTGTGTGTGGCAGGCTGGCTTGCACTGGTATAACTGTAGCTCACTGCAGCCTTGAACTCCTGGGCTCAAACTACCCTCCTGCCTCAGCCTCCTGAGTAGATGGGACTACAGGCACATGCCATCACATCTGGCTAATTAAAAACAAAATGTATAGAGATGGGGTCTTGCTGTGTTGCCCAGGCTTGTCTTCAACTCCTGGGTTCAAGCGATCCTCCTGCCTTAGCCTCTGGGTTAGCCGGGATTACAGGTATGCACCACCATGCTAATCTTTGAAAAAAGTTTCTGTAGAGATGGATCTGACTGTGTTGTACAGGCCGAATGAATCTTTGGCAGATTCCTAAGACCTTTTGGTAGCCATCCCTGAGGCCCCGTGATTGGAGTCTACACTGCACTGGGGAGGCAGTGATGGTTGCCTGGGGCTCTTCTGTGTGGCTCATCAGTGAGCCTTACCCAGCCTGCTCTTTGCAAACAAGGTGCTGAGAAATACCACTGGCTGGGGCACAGCTGAGCTGCCTGGGAAGCGCATGGCCTGCAGATTGCCGCCTACACTCCTGGCCTCGGGTCGTCTCGGCACGTGTGAGCGTGTTGCGTGTGTTTTCCAGTTCTGTGTTAAGTCAGGACTCGACAGTTTAAGTGGCACGGAGCAGAATGAGGCTGGGGGAGTGCGGGAGCTGAGTAGGTCCCCACCGTGGCCTTCTTTCCTGTTCATCCGAGAGACTCAGTGACTTCCTGACCCTAGGCCAGGCCGGAGGGCAGCCAGCTGTGACCTGGGGGCCAGATCCTGCTCAGAGCCGGGATTAAAAGAATAACCAGCAAGCTAAGAATGTTGTGTTTTTAAAGGATTGTTGAAAAAGGAAAAAGGAGACTGTGCCACAGAGACTGCCTGTGCCCGAAATGTTCCTCGTCCAGCTTTGCAGAGAAAGCTTGCAGTGTCTCTCTAGTTGATTGATTCAGAATGTACTGATCAAGGGTTGAAGCATTTTTAAAGAGAGCCTTTTTCCTGTTTAGTAATAACCCTAGAACAGTGCCTGCCCTGTGGGCTGTGGACGTTCCGGGCCGGGGCCTTCTCTGCTGGGGCTGTTCTGTGCGCTGTGGTTGAGCAGCATCCCTGGCCTCCACTCCAAGACGCCAGTAGTGTCCCCTCCTCCCCTGGTTGTCGCAATCAGAGATGTATCAAGTCATTGCCACATGTCCCTCAAGGGTGCAGCATTGCCCCTGGTTGAGAACCGCTACCTTAGAATAATTCATACATGACTTATTACAGCCGTTTATGGCCTCACTCTCAGCTCTTACTGAAGGGACTCCAGGAACAGAGACTGCTTCACTTCAGGCTCAAGTCTCCGAAGACACAGCAGTGGGACAAAGGGCTGACTGAGCAGACTGAAGGGTCTGATGTTTCTAATTAAGTCATTAGGATTTCTTAGAAAACTAATTGCTTTTGTTCCTGCCCAAACCCCAGTTGATCTGTTCAGGCTTTGCAGACGTGTCTGGATGTACGTTCTTCTCATAAGAAGGACTCCTCTTACCTGGTAGAAGAAAGCAGTTACAATCATTGACCCTATTCTGGTGCAAGACTGACAGACTGAAAACAAGGAAAATCGTGACATGTTCTGTTAGGAAGGATTCTGAAAAGGTGGGGGCGGACCAAAAATAGCAGAATGTCGGTCCTCATTAAACCTGGGTGGTTTCTTATGCTATTCTGTTTACTTTGCATATGTTAGAAATAGTTCTGTTGCACAGTGTTTAGAAAAAAAATTGCAGTTAGGTGAAGTTTGGAAACTTGATGTTTCCATGGCAGAGGACATTTGGTAAATTTGAAAGAATTCTCAAGGGCTGTTGTGTGGGATCGTAGTGAAGTCCAGGGGACATAAGAAGCAAATACATAGGTGGCACCACTTGAATCTTTGGTTCCTGAGGAATTAGGCATTGGCATTTCCACCGAGGTGTGAAAGATGTAGGGAAGAGCTGGACAGAAGAGCCAAGTGCAGGGCTTCCTTCAGGAACCTCTGGCCCATCGGAGTCCTCTCCCTCCTGGGGCCCATGTGCCGGGGACCCACCTTCTCCGTCAGGGCTGCACGAGGGAGGAGCCAAGTGAAGACAGCACCTCAAGGTTTTGGGTCCCCTCTGGGGAGAAAGAGAGGTGGAGCTAATCAAGACCACCTTTGGATCGGTGGAAAGCCATGAGAAATCTTTTTATTGAAGCCAGTTGGTAGAATAATTCTCAGTAAGATATTGGCCCACAAACCTACCTTAACATAGACTGTGAACATCATTTAGTATGTTTTCAGGGTCTCTTTCTAGTACTTCAGTTGAACTGAACCCAGTGTCTGGAGACCCAGCTCGAGAAGTTCTGAACTTGGGCTGTTCACGTGCCTGATTTTACCTTACCTGGGGAGAGATTGACCTCATTTCCTAAAACATTTCCAAGGCAGCATTTCCAGTTAGCTTATTTCTGCTTTATTGTGTGTGTTTACCCAGGTGGAGAATATGTCACCAAGCTGGGTCGGTCACTGGAGCCAGGGTGCTGGAAACCCGTTGGGGTGATAGGGTTCCATAGTCCCTAGGAAAGCCGGGACTTTCCTAGGTTGGGAGTGTGGGTTGGGAGTGTCCGAACCCCTGGATACCATAGTCAGAGTTTGGCACATGCTTCCATTTTTTTTTTTTCTGGAGAGAAGGTCTATAACTTTCATTTTATTATCAAAAGGTTTTATAACCTAAAGGCTGAGACCACTGCCCTTGACAGGCTGACCGCAGGAGTCCAGGCGCCTTTGGGTAGACTTCAGACTCCCCGCTGGACAGAGAATCATGCTATCCTCATTCCACCCAGTGCCCTACTTTTCATTTCTCTTTTCTTTTCTTTTTTTTTAAAGACAGAGTCTTACTCTGTCACCCAGGCTAGAGTGCAGTGGTACGATCTCGGCTTACTACAACCTTCACCTCCTAGGTTCAAGGAATTCTCCTGCCTCAGCCTCCCAAGTAGCTGAGATTACAGGTGCCCATCACCAGGCCTGGCTAATTTTTGAATTTTTAGTAGAGACAAAGTTGCCCAAGCAGGTCTAGAACTCCTGACCTCAGGTGATTCACCAGCTTCGGCCTCACAAAGCACTGGGATTACAGGCGTGAGCCACTGCGCCTGGCCAACTTTTGATTTTTCTTTTCCACTCTCCAGGCAGGGTCTCAAGTTTCCTTTTTTGGCTGGGCACAGTGGCTCACACCAAAGCGGGGAAGATCACGTGAGCCCGGGAGTTGGATACCAGCCTAGGTAATATAGTGGCGACCCTGTCTCTACAAAGAATAGAAAAATTATCTGGGTGTGGTGGGGCACACCTGTAGTCCCAGCTACTCGGGAGGATGAGGTGGGAGGTCACTTGAGTCCAGGAATTTGAGGCTGCAGAGAGCCGTCGTTGTGTGACTGCAGTCCAGCCCGGGCAACACAGTGAGACCCTGTCTCTAACAAATCAAACTTTTTAAACAAAAGTTTCCCCTTTTGATTCTCGTTTGTCTACCTCCCCCACTTTCCCTTTCACCTTCTTCCCTCTCAACGATATCTGCAGCCATGAAGGGCGTCACCAGCCACTGCCAGCCTGCTGGAATAGTTATGTGCTGTGGTACACAGGGTGGACGAAACTGTTATTGGCCAAAGAGAGAATATTTTTAGCGTTTTTCTCTGTCTTCTCTTTGATCCTGCTTTCCTTGATTGCCCCACCTTTATCCTTCCCCAGGATTCCCTTCCATTTGAGAAAATGTTTTTCTAGAACGTAGGTTTTGTTATTTGCACAGATGCACCCAGGGTAAGCAGCAGAGAGGTGTGTGATCTTGGGTCAGGCCTTTGGGGCACGCGGCTGGCTTGGGGGTCGGGCGGTGGTCCGCAGGGCCGTGTGGCGGCCACCCCCTGACTCTCTGGCTGGGTTGTTTTCCTCTTTTGCAGATCATCCAGTCACTCGATGGGGATTACCAGCGGACCACCTGTTTGTGTCACCTTCCCACCTCTCTGTAGCAAGAAAAATCACTTCAGCACCTCTTCAGTAATAATGATGAAACTGGTATTAACTGAATGGCATTTATGGATTTTTAACTCTAATTCACAGTAAACCAGCAAGCCATATGTTTAAAATCCAACCAAAAATCGTTCTGTGTTGCTGCATGTCTCATACCATTGTGAGAAGTTGTGAGATACCCACTTGTGCAAAGAGGAATGTAAGTGTTACTTGCCCAAGGAACACAACCGAAGCAGAAAGAGAAGACGTCTTAATTTATCATTACAGATATATGAAAGCATTATTTATATAGATAGAATATATAGAGAAATATATATATTTTTGGTGGTAATGAAAATGGCTCCGCAGAATGCCGACTCGGAATCTATGCAAGTTCAAGAGTTATCCGTGCCCCTGCCAGACCCGCAGAAAGCCGGAGACGCAGAGGCCGAGAACTGTGAGACCATCAGCGAGGGGTCCATAGACCGAATCCCCATGCGCCTGTGGGTGATGCACGGGGCGGTGATGTTTGGCAGGGAGTTCTGTTACGCCATGGAAACAGCTCTGGTCACACCCATACTGTTGCAGATTGGTAAGTCTCCTCCCTGTCTGTGCGCCGTGAACTCTGAGCGGAGCAGCTGTGGACTGGGCGTGGCTCTGATCCTCCGGAGGAGTAGGATGGCATGTCCCGGAGAGCCCTGGGCACAGGAGTCCTTGTCTCCTCTCCCTTCAGCCTGCCCTGATGGTGGTTTCCTCCTCCTGTTCTCAGCTGGGTTTGGGGAGGAGTGATCCTCGGATGTGGACGTTGAATTACAGTTTTGGCAGAGTGGTAGCTGAGCATCTGGGGCAGAATTGGCACTGATGAGTACTGGCTCTCGGCTGGGGCCCCTCTCTCCCGCTGTCCCTGCCAGGCCACAGTGAACCATGAGCTGAGAGTCACTGGCTGTGTCATGAAAGCAAATTCGGGATCCCCTCTGTGCTGCAGTCTGATTCCTTGTGTGTAAAGTGAGTGTGATCGCACACCAACCCTCAGAGGGTCCCGGACATGCTTCGAATGGTGCCTGGCCATGGGAGATGCTGGAAGATGCTATCTTCTGCTCCTTGTTGCTGTTGGCACGAATCCAAGGTTATTGTGGACGTTACATGGTTCAGTGACAGGCATTTCCAAAAGCACGGAAACTCACGGAGACACGTGCAGGTGGGCATGACCAGGCCTCGCACATGCAGCACTCGGTGTTCCTTCCAGATGACTGGGCAACATGGCGGGGCCCTGCAGGGAGTCCCCGCTGGGGGTGTCTTGGGCCCAAAAGTTTTGTCGGAATGTTTCGTTTTCCTTATGGCCTAAGGAAGTTTTAAAATCTGTCATTTTCTAAACCCTTAGCCATATAAGCTGTCTGGGTAAAAGGCAAACAATTTAGAAGCATCCGTTTTAATGGTGAAACCCCGTCTCTACTAAAACTACAAAAAATTAGCTGGGCATGGTGGCGCGTGCCTGTAATCCCAGCGACTCAGGAGGCTGGGGCAGGAGAATTGCCTGAACCCGGGAGGCGGAGG